GATTTTCCTATGAGGAATCCAGTTGGATATGACTCTTCCTGACGCCAGGGACCTCACTTATTTTTATTTTTTATTTTATATATATATTTTTTTATTGTACTTTAGGTTCTGCGGTATATGTGCAGATCATGCAGGATTGTTGCATAGGTACATACATGGCAATACTGTTTGTGGCCTCTATCTCCCCCCACCCCCGGCACCTATATCTGGCATTTCTCCCATGTTATCCGTCTCCACCCTCCCTAACCCCCACTATCCCTCTCCTATTCCCCCACTACAACAGACGCCAGTGTGTGATGCTCCCCTCCCTGTATCCATGTGTTCTCATTGTTCAACACCTGCCTATGAGTGAGAACATGTGGTGTTTGATTATCTGTTTTTGTGTCCGTTTGCTGAGAATAATGGTTTCCAGTTTCATCCATGTCCCTACAAAGGACACTAACTTATCGGTTTTTATGGCTGCATAATATTCCATGGTGTATATGTGCCACATTTGTCTTGTCCAGTCTGTGATCGATGGGCATTTGGGTTGATTCCAGGAATTTGCTATTGTAAACAGTGCCACAGTGAACATATGTGTGCATGTGTCTTTATAATAGAACAATTGATAATCCTTAGGATATATACCCAGTAATGGGATTGCTGAGACCTACTTTTAAAGCTGCTGGGACCTACTTTTACTCCTTGCGAGCATTGCAGGCTGCCTTCAGCAATTCCTACAAGTGCAAGGCCAGAGCGTGTGCACGGCAGGAAGGCGTTTTAAGTGAACATATTCAAAGTGTGGAGTCAGGCTTTTAAGGTGGAAGGCAACCAGTTAGGATCTGTGGAGGAGCATCTGCTGCATGAGAATAACATGCTGATCGCCATCACTGTCGGCGGCAACCTTTTGGGGCTGTTCCTCCTCGTCCTCATTGCCCACCTTACCAGCAGGAAGAGGAGCCACCCACAGGGTGGCAGGCGCAGAGCTGCAGGAGTCTCTGTTCATTTCCTGGGCTTAGGGTCCTGAGGCGGAGGCACACTTTCCGACAAACGTTTCTCAAATGTGCTTCATCAAACGTGATGTTCATCTTGCAGCAATCAGTATACACAGCACAGTAGCTATTGAAATGACGGTGTTAATTTTGCAACTGGGTTAAATATTTTGCTAACTGGTTAAACATTAATATTTACTAAAGTAGAACTCTAAGGGAGCATGGAAGTGCTTCCCTAAACTGGCACTGGCTCCACTGTCCTTAGACTTTAAATTTTCCAGTGTTTGGTTTCTTCATTCTTTTCTCCACTCAGATTTAAACCTTACAAAGGGAAAGTCTCTGCCCTTCGTGCTCAGGACGAATGAAGGCCGGCTCATCATTAGGCTGACATGCTTGTGAAATTACAAACAGTAGAGAGGGGAAACCTAAGACAGAAGAACTCCAGAGATAAACAGGCCTGACCGCCTTTTAAAGATGAATTGAAGCACTCCAAACATTTATCTTTGGACAGGATGGGCCTGGCCACACACAGCTGGCAGCCACGTTCCAGCGAAGGCACTTGGTGGGGTGTCCTCAGGCGTTTCTAATGCTCTACTGCTCAAGGGCTGGCACTTTTTAAAATATGAAAATGGGTGTTATTTTTATTTTTTTTGTAAAGTGATTTTCAGTCTTCTGTTGACATTCAGGGTGATCCTATTTCTGTGGTGTGTACAACATACGCGTTGCTCTCTACTGATGTGTCTGCTGCAGCTTGGGAGGTTGTACACAGGACCAGCTCACGTAATGCATTCCCTGTAACAATGCTAACAAAAAGTCTCTTTCTTTAAAAATAAAAAAAAAAAGGAAAGGAAATATTTTAGCGTTCCAATGACAATAGCATCAAATAACATAAAATACTTAGGAATAAATTTAACAAAGGTATACATGACCTCTCTGAGAGAATATCAAAGAAAAAAATGAATATAGAAAGATATAACTATGTTTATAGGTTAAGATCAGTATTGTTAACATGTTCATTCTCCCCAAATTGATTTATAGATTCAACACAATCCGAATCAAAATTTGAACAGACTTCTAGAAACAGGCAAGCTGGTTCTAAAATTTATATGAAAATGCAGAGGGCCTAGAATAGGCCAAATTATCTTGAAATAGAAAAATTTGGACAATTCACAGTATCTGATTTCAAAACTTGTTATAGGGTTACAGTAACCTAGCAGGGTCGTATTGACCAAAGAATAGACAAATGGGTCAGTGACCTGAATAGAGAACCCAGATATAACGCACACATATATTATCAATTGATTTTCCAACCAAGACACCTCTGCCAATCATTGGAGAAAGGCAATCTTTTCAACAGATGGTCCCAGAACAACCGAATAAATGTGTGGAGGAGGGAAACATTGAACCATCGCTCACACCACATACAAAAACTAATTTGATGAATCGTAACCCTCAATGTAAAAGCTAAAACTGTAAAGCTTTTACAAGAAAAAATAAGGGAAAATCTTCTCAACCTGAGGATATGTGAAGATTTCCTAGACAAAAACAGAAAGCGCTAAACATAAAATTTGATAAACAAGACTTCATCAAAAGCAAAAGTTCTGCTCATCAACAGGCACCAGTAAGAAAATGAAAAAGCAGACAGGTTTGTATCCAAACTACATAAAGAACTCCTACAAACCAATAACAAAAACACTAAAACCCATTTTAAAAAGGCGCAGAGTACTGAGCGGACGCTTCATAAGGGAAGCTATGCAAAGATGTGCAACATTATTAGTCATCAGAGAAATGCAAATCAAAACTACGAGATTTAGCTGGGCATGGTGGCTCGTGCCTCTAATCCCAACAGTTTGGAAGGTCAAGGTGGGCAATAGCTTGAGGCCAGGAGTTCGAGACCAGCCTGGCCAACATAAGGAAACCCTGTCTCTACTAAAAATACAAAAATTAGCTAGGCCGTGGTCCCAGCTACTCAGGGTCTAAGGCATGAGAATTGCTTGAACCCAGGAGGCAGAGCTGCAGTGAAACAAGCTTGCGCCACTGCCTTCCAGCCTGAGTGACAGAGAGACTGTCAAAACACACACAAAAAATTAAAAAACCCTGCAAGATTCCAGTTCACCTTCTCTATAATAGGTAAAATTTAAAAGACTAATAACACCAAATACTGTCAGTGATGTGGAGAAATTGGAACTCTCAGACATGGCTAATAGGGGTATAAAATGGCAAAACACCTTTGGGAAATTGGCAGTTTTCTTATAAAGGTAAATATACATTTACCATGTGATCCAGATTCCATTTCTAGGTTTTTCCAAGAAAAATGAAAACACATGTTCCGGAATATTTATGGTAGCTTTATTCATTATAGCCCCAAAGCAGGAACAACCGAAATATATCAAAATAGCCATCAGTCGGGAGCAGAGCGGCATACCAGGCTGCGTGCACACGCTGGGGTGCTACTCAACAGCAGAAAGGAACAAAATGCTGAACACACAGCAACATAGATGGATGTTGAAAACATTATTTTGAGCAAAAGAAGGCAGGCACAATTTTTAGTCTGTGTCATACTATAAGAACAGGCGAAACCAGTCTATGGGGACAGAATCCAGAACAGAATTTGCCTGTGAAGGAGTGGGATGGGACAGACCAGAAGCGGCAGGCAGAGAGATCAGAGAGGACGTTCTGTGTCTTGACTGGGTGGTAGTCACATGGCTAGATGCATGTATCAAAGCTGATTAGGTAATACAGGTAAGATCTGTGCATTCCGCCCTTTTCTTCAATTAAAAACTAAAATAAAAAGATGATCTCCACTTCTGCCACTTGAGCCAGCGCCTCCTTGGAGCACAGGGCACCTGACTCCCCCAAGACAGCTTCCAGGCCATCCCATGACCACTGCAATGGAGAGAAGCTATGGAGAGGATCTGACTGCACAGAGGAGCGGGAGGGCATCACCAGGGGATGGGTCCCGTTTTGAGAACGCTGCATTCTGGTTTGGCATAAAGCCTGTTTCCTAGAGAAAGCAAGGCTTTTGTTGCCATTGTCTCTCCCTGTGTCTCTTCTGACAACTCTTTCAATTTCCAAAACCAAAGAAGGAAAGTCAGAAAGAAGTAAAGGCAATAAGAACAAGTCCTGGACCAACTGCAAAATGTGGCTTTCCCAATGACGTGAACCTGTGTGACGGACAAGACAATCAACAGAACCTCAGCACTCCGAATGCACCCTCACTGTAGCCTCGTGCAAGAGAGGCCATGGGTCTCCTGCAAATGAGAACACGGAGGCTTAGAGAAGTGAAGTGACTTGCTCGAGAGCACACAAGTCAAAAGTGGCTGAGCTGGGTTTCAGTCTTAGTTCATCCAAGCCCAGCCATGCTCTTAGCCACTTCTGTACTACCTGATGCCCTAGTTTATGCAAAGGAAACCAAGGCTGAAAGACGGCAGCTCTGAAAGGAAAGGGAAGTTGTGAGAGGGTGCCAAGGCCTGGGCAGGGGTGGCAGTGAGGGAGAACAGTGTGCTCCTTCTCCCTGGGTGTCTTTGACGGCAGAGAGTTTAAGCAGATTGTGTATGTATACACGGGCTCCAGAAGTTCTTAGCACACACTCACAGCCCCATCCTCAACCCTGTAGGAACCCTAGAGCCAAGGTCTACATTGGCACTGCCCAGTATAGCCACTAGCCACATTTGCTAGCTGAGTTTAAATTTATGTTAACTAAAATCTGAAACGTCAGTTCCTTGGCCACACCCAAGTTCCAAGCGCTCAATGCTGCACGCAGCTAGGGACTACTGTGATGAGCAGTGCAGGCTTAGACCTTGATCCTGAAATCCAGGCCACACCCCAAAGGGCTGCAGTTTGCTGGACCTCAAGCGGATCTGCCTCTGGGTGTCACCAGGATGAGGTGCATAGTGGTGAGGGAGGAGGCAAGAAGTTGGGGGGGGACACTGTGGAAGCGATGAAGACCCCAAGAGCCCTAGGGAGGAGGTGGGGCCTGGAGGCCACTCTTCTCTGCCATGAGCACTCTTTCCTTGTCTACTCTTTCAGAAGCGAGTTCTTTTCCTGACCAATGACTACTTCTTCACGGACATCAGCGACACCCCTTTCAGGTGAGGGACCCAGGCTTTATTTTCGGGGGGTGGGGATTGAACACAAATACCAACAACTCATATTTGGTTGGCAATTTTGTGGTAATAGCAAAAGGCCCAGATCAGCATTCAGGAAACTTGAGGTGTAGACCAGCTTTGCTGGTGTAGCCTAGAATGCGGGTTCTGGAGCCACACTGCCCGGATGTGAAGCCCAGCTCTACCACTTACAGACTGTGTAACCTGGGACAAGTGTGTGGTCTGCGCCATGCTCCTCTGGGCCCCAGGCAAGCCCCTCCAAATGCTGTGGTTATTTCACTGTTCATCAGCATCCATCAGCCAAGCTGCCTTAACAGGCCATTTCCCCAGGGGCAGTTGCCCTGTCTGAGAAGAGGCTCTGACGTCCAGCGCTCCCTGCTTTACTGATGCGTCACCTCTGCCTCCTACAACTCTGTTAACAGAATTTTGAGCTTCACTTAACTTCTCTGTGCCTTAGATCTCTATCTGTAAAATGGGGTAACAGTTACAGCTGCTTCTTGGTGGTGTTGTGACGATGAAGTGACATCTTCCGCTTAAGACGCTAAAGCAGTGACAGGATCAAATTGGAAGATCTCAGGTTCCATGCAACTGTCGAAATGTTTGACTCTAGGTATTAGGCAAACTAGGAAATGAATGACCATTACCTCTGAATTATCTCATTTCTCCGTAAAGCCCTGGTTCCTGGCCCTGACTACTCATTAGAATACCTGAGGACTTACGTCAAGTAGCTACTGTCTAGGCTTCATCCAAAACCAATTTTTCTTTTTTGAGACAGGGTCTCACCCTGTCTCCCAGGCTGGAGTGCAGTGGCACAAACACAACTTACTACAGCCTCCACTTCCCAGGCTTAAACGATCCTCCCACCTCAGCCTCCCAAGTAGCTGGAACTATAGGAGTGTGCCACCCCACTGATTTTTTTATTTGGAAAAATTTTTAGAGATGGAGCCTCGCTGTGTTGCCCAGCTGGCCAGACCAATTTAATCAGAATTTCTGGGGGTAGAGCCCATGCACCCGCGTCTTTTAAAACTCCCCAAGAAAGTCAGATATTCAGCCAAGGCTCAAAACCAATGTTCAGTCAAGGAGAGGAAGGCACGGCGGGACTCACCAGGTGGGAAAGGGAGCTCCTGTTTGTGGGACCCCCTGTGAAACAGAGACTGTTCTACATTTCAGGGGGTCCCTGTGAGGTTCAGGATGTGCCTTGATGAAAATGGTAGTTGAGAGGGCTCTTGGTCTACAGAAAGGCCAGGGTCCTGCTCAGGAAGGAAGGCTGTTGGGAAAATAGAGGCACTCCTCCATTCTGAAGGGGACAACTGTGAGGCCAGAGGCAAAGAACGGGGCGTAAGGAGTGCACCACTTGTCGTGGGTACAAAAAGCCTATACACCTAGTGTTGGTGAGGGCAAGGGCAAGGCCTGGGAAGTGGGCGGGTATCTGCTGGCGCTGAGTGAGTGCCTTCTCTTCTCTCCCCACAGTTTAGGGGTGGTGCTGTCCCGGGGCCACGGAGAATACATCCTTCTGGGGAACACGTCTGTGGAAGAAGGTGGGTTGGCACCAGGGGCTGAGGGACAGTTAAGTGAAAATGTGACAGCCTCCCTGCTCCCAGGTTCCAGAGCAGCCTGTCAGAACAACACTGGCAGGTGGAGAGGGGTGTGTGTGTCCCTGACACCCAGGGCGTGCCAGGATCTGTGGATCAGTCATCACACCTGCAGAGCCTGAGGCCTGCCAACCACACTGCCAGGGTCCGGGAGGCCTTGCTGGAGTGGGAAGACCATCAAGGCAGTATGCTTTTTAAACAAAGCTCAAAGCTGAAATTTCCCTGCCAGGTGACAGCAGAGGGGATGAGAAAGGAGGCCAGGAAGAGAAAGGAAGCTAATATTCATTTGCTAAGGCTCCCAGCACGAAGTTCCGCAAACATGGTATCTTAAAACAGCAGACATGCATCCTTTCACGGTTCTGGAGGCTGGAAGTCCCAAGTCAGGTGTTGGAAAGGCTGTGCTCCCCACAAAGCCTCTAGAGGAATCCTCGCTCACCTCTTCCAGGTCTAGAAGCCTCTGGTGCTCCTTGTCTTGCAGCTGTAACACTTCAGTCTCTGCTCCCTGGTCCCGTGGCCTTCTCCCCTCATCTGCTTCTCACTGCCCCTGTTATCTCTTCTTACAAGGACACCACTTATAAGGGATCAGGGCCTACCCTCGTGATCTCACCTTAATTTGATTACTTCTGCCAAGACCCTGTTTCCAAAGAAGGTCACATTCACAGGTCAGGACTTCAACATATCTTTTGGGGGACACAATTCAGCACATACCCAGAGCTTATGGGATGTGAACGAGCGTGAGATGGCAGAGAACAGTGGTGGAGGCCAGAAGAGAAGAGCCCCACACACGCCATCCCTCCTGCCTGTGACTTACCGTGGCCTAAGCACCTTAGGAAACCAAAACCTATCTCAGGGGTCACGAATATCTCAGGAAGCCCCTGGAAGAGGTGGTCACTTTCTGTTTAGCACCCACATCCTACCCTCTGCTATCTGCTGAGTGCATCTCATCACCCTGACTTTCTGCCACCGTCCTGGTCATTGTCACCTCTCTCCTGGACAACTATGGTGGCCTCCAACCAGTCTCTCTGACTCCTTTCTTCCCTGAGCTTCAGCCAGAGGGATCTTCCTAGAAATGCCAAGTCTGCCCACATCACTGCTGATGGGCCTGCTCCTCCTGGCTGCTTTCCTCTGCCCTGGAGTGCCCTCCTATCCCAGTGTACTTTGACCCACTCTCAGGCCCCAGCTTAGCTGTCACCTGTCTGGGAGCTGTCCCTGGTAGGGCCCCTCTCCCACACCTAGGCTGAGTCAGGCGCTAGCTATGTGCTCACCTGGAAGCTGTGTCTGCCCTTCCACAGCACAGATCCTAGTGCTGGGGTACTCTCCTCTGTCTCCTGTCATCCCCTAGGCCTCCACCATGCCTTCTTCCTTCTTCCTACACATTTCTTCCTCTGCCCAGATATTCCCAGGGCAAACTCCTCCAGGAGACAGAGGGTGCTGTCCTTTACCCACTCCTGGGAGTGAGACAAACCAGTAGTCAGGGCCTGGAATCCCGGAGTTGCCTGGGCTTCTGTGGTCAAGGGAGCTCCCCTTCCAGCTGCTTGTCCTGTGTCTACATCAGAGCCGTAGCCCTAAGGCTCCACAGATGCCCCACTGGCCTTTCCATCATCCCCTCCTTGGACTTACCCTCAGTGGAGCACCTGTCTGTTTCTCAGCTCTGAGTAGGTGCCACAGAGCATTAGCTCATCATTCATTCAGTCAACAGCATGTACTGAGCATGAGATCAGGCTGGCTCTGTGCTAGGTGAGAGCCCACAAAACACACAGAGCCCATCCTGGGGTTGAAGTCAATGAAGCCAAAATCACTGATTTCAAAGTATCAGCTTCTTTTGAGGGAGATGCTAGTAGGAACAGGATACAGTTTCTGCAGGGAGCTGCTGTCTAGCAGAAGCACAAGAATATTACATGCCTAGAATAACCCAGATCCAACCTGGACAGGGAGGAGGGGCATGAGGGCTGCAGGAGGAGAAGATGCTCCCACTGGCTGGGCAGCTCATTGAAGCCATGGCATTTGCCCTGAACCTTGAAGAGGAGGTAAGATTTGAATATGAAGCAGTGAGAAGAAAGCATTTCAGGAGGCAGGACCTGTGCAGACTTAGCCATGTTCTGTTGGTTAATCTGCTCTGAGCTAAGAGCAAGAAAGAACAGACCCCAGTCCCTTCCTTCGGAAACTCACTGGGTGGCTGTTTCTACAATTGGGGCACACACCCTAATGGCAGTGGGGTGTGTCACCCAGCATGTGGACTCTGGTTACAGGACTGCATGACTTGCTTCACCCGGACCTGGCCCTGGCCAGTGACTGGTAAGTGAGGAGTAGAAAATGGGAGGGAGATAGGTGGAATGTTTTGAGATAACACTGATTGTCCTGGGTTCCAGGATCTACTGCATCACGGATATTGACCCGGACCACCGGAAGCTCAGCCAACTAGAGGCCATGGTCCGCTTCCTCACAAGGGAGGATCCAGACCTGGAGTGTGAGTGCTGGCTGTCCACTGAGGCGAGCTTTTCCTCTGGGGTCCTGCAGCTCAGGATTTTGCCAGGAGAGATGGGAGGGCAGGGGGAGGCTGCTGCATAGCCCTATCCCAGGAGCACATGGATGACTTAGATAAAACAGAGAGAATCTCCTCCCAAAAAAAAAGGCATAGCTAGCCCTACCACAGGGCTGAGCTGATATTTAAGCACGTTTAGAACTGTGGTGACATGTATTCCTCCCCAGGTCAGGGACTGGGATCTTTTTCGCCTCTATCCACCAAGCTCTGTTAAGGGTCAGAAGAGAGTACCATTAAGAGTCTGTCAGCTTTCTCCCTACCACTGTCCAGACGTGGACCTCTGGGCAAAGGGCTGCCACTATCCACCAGAAGTCTTCATCTCCACAAGGGGAGCATTTGGCCAGATGACTCGAAGCCTGTGGTCCGTGTTTCTAAGCTGGTTCCTCAGGCTAACCTTGCTCACCTCTTCCACGTATAGTAGCCCCAGATGCTCCTTGTCTTGCAGTTTTGACACTTTAGCTTCTGCCCCATGGTCCCATGGCCTTCTCACCTGCACTAATGCGAGTGGTGAGCTCATTAGGCCACATCCTCAGCTTGGTCGTCTTCCTTCCTCTTTGGAAGAGGGAGCAGGTCATCCTGTCACATAATTGTCACCACCATAGGAAGACTGCTTCCCATGCTAGCCCAACAGGGCACTTATTTACTTATTCATTCATTTCATCCACAAATCTGTACTGAGCTTGTACCCTGTGTCAGGCCCTGGGATAGGCATTGGAGCTACAGAGATAACCCAGACTAGGCCCTTGCTCTCATGGAGCTTACAGTCTAGTGGAGAAGCCAGATGATAAGCAAAGAAGCCTACATATATAGATATAGGTTGTTATCAATTGTGATAAGTGCCATGAACAGGATGCTATAGGGGAGAGAAATGGGTCTGCTTTAAAGGAGATCCTGCTAAGTCACTTGGCCTCTTTTGGAGGATCTCCTTTGGGAGTGACAAAAATATTTTGGAACTGAATAGAGGTAGTAGTTACACAACATTGTGAATGTACTAAATGCCACTGATTGGATCGCATATTTTAAATTGGTCAGTTTCATTTTATGTGACTTTTACCCCAAGAAAGATAAATTTTTTAAAGAGAGAGGAACAACTGGGAAAAGAACATCCAGACCAAGGGAACAGCCTGTATGGAGGCTCTGAGGCAACAAGGAGCTTGGCAAGGTCAAATTCACTGGCCAGATGCAGTTACTCATGCCTGTAATCCCAGCACTTTGGGAGGCCAAAATGAGCAGATCACTTGAGTTCAGGAGTTCTGGATCAGCCTGGCCAACACAGTGAAACCCCATCTCTACAAAAATGCAAAAAATTAGCCAGGCATGGTGGTGTGCACCTGTGGTCCCAGCTACTTGGGAGGCTGAGGCAGGAGAATTCCTTGAACCTAGGAGGCGGAGGTTGCAGTGAACTGAGATCATCCCACTGTACTCCATCCTGGGTGACAGAATGAGACTCCATCTCAAAAAAAAAAAAAAATTCATGTAACTAACCAAAGGCTAAGGTATACGAATGATTAAGGAGCAGAGGGGGAGGGATTGAGATGAGGGAGACTGGGAAGATCCAACCTGAGGTCACTGAGGGTCTCTGAAGCTCGTCAGATGTTACAATTGGAAAGAGCCTCAAATATCAAGCTGTTGTACTCACATGTTTTTTGGAGTTAGGAAAGTGAAGACAGACAGAGGTGAGGTGGCTCCCTCAAGCTCACAGAGACAGTTTTACATGTCCCACAGACACATTCACGAAGCACATCTTCTTCCCTGAACTTAAGGTTGGTGAGTTGTGTTCATAGCATGCAGGAAGCATGTGGCCTGGTACCCTGATGTTTTGCACCCAGGTGACGAGGAGCTGGTCCGGGAGGTGCTGTTTGATGCGGTGGTGACAGCTCCCATGGAAGCCTACTGGACAGCGCTGGCCCTCAACATCTCCGAGTAGGTCCAGGTTTCCTGGTTCCCAGGCCCCATCCGGCCCCCAGAATTCCCTTGTCTGAGTCAGGGCCCCTCTCACCACCTGGCTGGTGGCTCAGGAGAGCACCACGTCCTGTGGCCTAAGATCAAGTGCAGGTCCCCTGGGCACAGGACTAAATCCCCACCCAAGTATAGTCCCATTCCAACAGCGACTTTCTGTGGGTTGACCTCCAGCCATGAGAACCCATTGACCAAAGTGCCCTGGTGAGAGCAGCTCAAATAGGTTTCCAGCAGGTAAGGTCACAGCACCAATGAACTTGACCTCGATTTTCCCAGCCCATTAGAAATCCTCGCTCCCTTTGCTGGCCTTTTCCTGGTACTATTATGTTTAGTGGCCCGATGGAAAGAAGGTGAGTGGCATGTAAGTGTAGAACGTGTGTGTGCACATGAGTGTTGGGTGCAGGGTAAGGTATTAATGAGGTTAAGGTCGCCGTGGGCCATACCTTGCTCCTGAATGGGAAGATTCAACATTATGAAGATGTCAAACCTCCCCAGACAGTCAATAAATTTAAGCACGTAATTAGATATTAGACAATAAAAATTGAAAGTTTTTTAGTGTTATCTTATAAAAAAACACCTACAGAATTTTATAGGCACAGTCTCCTATTGAAAAAGCAAGATGTGGAATGCTACCATTCTAAGTAGTAGAGTGTGCTACCCTTTCTGTAAAAAGGGAAGTGCCATAGCATTTGTGTGGATTACATACATAACATCTATGATCTGTATACTGTCTACACAAGGCTACTCAGGAAACAGTCGTCATTGGCTGTTTCTCGTTAGAAAATGGGTAACTGGGCCGGGCGCGGTGGCTCAAGCCTGTAATCCCAGCACTTTGGGAGGCCGAGGCGGGTGGATCACG